CTTGCACTAGAAAATTTTGTCTGTATGTCTCCTTACTTTGGAAGACTCATAAACCATTGCACCTCTTTCAGATGGTTGTGCATAGTTGGAGTGTTGTGCAAAGGTGTACATCTTCTCCTCAGGGATCTCACAGGATCCAAAGCACATGAGCTCCATGAACAAGAAGTCTGCATGCCAGCGGCTGGAAATCAGTTGTTGGTGCTAACAATCTAGCTGGCCACTGATTTGTGACCCACCTGCCATTTCAGGAAGATCATTAGGAAAGCTGTGGAAAGGCAACTCCATCAATTTCTTAGTTTCATTGACACAAAAGCAATCAGTAGCCAAACTAATTATTTCTTGGCTATTGAGGGTGAAGTGCTGTGGCCCTATTAGATGGTTTCCCTCCCGGAGAAATGCAAGGACTTGGACGCTCTCTGAAATGTCCATGGATATTTGCCTTCTCATTTGTAGACTAAGAGAAGAGGATGGAGTTGCAGTTGAGAGGGGTAACTATTGCCCTCCTGACAGAGCTCACAGGACAGTTGTTTGCAATCGTTACTCTGTTTCAAGGACTCTTGTTCCAAACATATGCAAGGCTGTTATGATGGTTAATGAGTTCCCTCTCTGGAGAAAAGGATATTTGTTTGTGAATTGTTTTGAGGACCTGAGAAGTAATTTAAGAATGCATTTCCTTTTCAATGTAGTAACCCATCAAATGTTTTAGTCAGGTTTACAAATGTTCTCCCAGTGTAAAAATAAATATACACCTCAGTCAGGATGTGTGTATAAACAAATACAGTCTGGTTTTGTGTGTATCTGTTAAAATAGAAGACAGGAAAAGTTTCAAAAGGTAGCTAAAACTCACTGCTTGAATACCTATTGGTATTCAATATATATAGGCTTGGGCTTACAGCATCAAGGTCTCTTCTCCCCTGGTTTTAAACTCTTCAGGCCAAGCCAGTTTGGCTGGAAAACTTCGCCCTGTCACCAAGTAATCTGTGGCTTGAAAGAGCCTCTGTCAGCCTGTGCGTGGGCTGGGGAGAAGCCTTTGGGCACGTTGTCGTTGATTCTTGGAGGTGTTAAAGGAGAGCTGCTCTTTGAGAAGGGTGGATTTCCACGACTCTTTTTTTAAGGCTAATGCAGTTCGTACAACAGAACTGAATGGAGGAGCTCCACGGTGGGGTAGCCCAGTGGGTGTGAACAAAATTTGCTTGCCAGCCCCCAGCCGGCCACAAAAGCTTCAGCTGGCCCTGCTCCATCACACCTGGATGGAGCTTGGAGGGATGCCCAGCCTGAGAGCAGGAGGGTGAGGACAGCAGACAGGCTGCTCTGTTGGGAGCGAAATCTCTTGCCACTGCCAGAAGCTGTCAAAGAGCCTGCATGCTGCCTGAGCCTCTCCTGGCACAATGGGATCTCCCCGTCTCCCCACGGGTGTCTGTCCAGGGGGTCGCTGTCTGCCCTATCCTGATGACTGTCAGTTTTCTGGGGGTGATTTGTGGCTGTTTCTTCTGCATCATTACCTGATTTTCTAGGCAGAAACTGCCTCTGCATGTGTAGAAAGAGAGAGTGTTTCAGACTCGATGGCAGACTGGCCGTGCAGGACATGCCCTCGTATCATGGTAAGACAAAGCAACTGTTGTGTCCCTGTTTCTCTACACAGATCTTCAGCCTACCTCTACCACAGCCACGACTCAGCACTGCATCCCAGGCACCACAAGCGTCCAGTCCCCTTCCAGCTCAGGTGAGTCCTCCTGCCAAATCTGAATACATTCATGCCACAAGTGAACCCTGGGTGCTGGCAGGCTTCTCCTTCAGCCTCCTCTCCCACAGACAGGCCTGCAGACCATGACCAATGGTCCCGTAGTCCAGCCAGTAGCTGGCAGACTCCCACCACACTGCTCACCTCTCCCTGATGATCCCTTTCCAGAGACCCAGAAGGGCTGCACTCTCACGGCTGTTCCCTGCTGTGGCCAGGCCTCTTACCCATGTGCATATCATCTATCATGGTCCTTCTGCCTCTGGGTCCTTCAGGCGGTGCAGCCCCGCTGAAGATGACAGGGTAGCTGGGGGAAGGTCCCGGAGCTGGTGCTGCTGAGCCTCAGCCATCAGCATGGCTGTGCCGCTCTGGGGCACGGAGAGGAGGGCTGAGCACGCTTGTCTGATTTTGCATGTGGGAGTAGGGAGGGTGCCTCACTTCAGCACCCTCAAATTTGGTGAAAATGTAACCTTCTGTAAAATCTTGTCATTTGCATGATCAGTAGAGGCTTCTGGGCAATAAACTAGGAAAAACAGAAGTCCAGCTGAGAATATCCCGTATGTAGCTAATTCTTAAAGTGCTGACTGGGTTACCCGCAGCATGGCCATAATGTAGGGGTTGAATGGGATTTCTGCTTTAGTTGCTTTCTCCAGCTCTTCTTTATACCTCTACTCCTGCACAGTCTTCTTTGTTCTCAGTGCTACCCGGATGGCATCAAAGTGGAGAGAGAGAGGAAAGACAAAACAGCTTGTCTCTAACACAGCTGGAGCCTGGGGCACGAAGAGACGCAGAACAAGAGTGATAGAGTTAGGAACCTGGGAGAGTGTGTTTAGTCCTGTTTAAAAAAGGCAGAATGTGGAGTTGGGAGAAGTTAAATGGTTTGACCTATGTTGTGGCAAAGGTGGAAATTTCTCACTGGGAAATGCTGGCTGAATTCTATGTTAAGATCACCCCGCACATTCCTCTTCCCCCTTCCTCCTCCTCTTCAAATTATCAGACACACGGCATATGCAAGTATTAGTCTGCTCCCACCATCGGAATGGAGATGGAATGTCTGTGGATATATTGGGCAGTATCCTACTTCTCTACATTTGCAGAAAGCTCAGGAGACAGCCATTAAGGCCCAACAAGTGTATGCCACGTAACTAAGGACCTCACGTAATCATTTCATTGCAAGCCAGAGTGTTTGCTGATTGTTGAAAATGCATGACGTTCAGTGGCTGTGGGCATTTCTGTGTTTTCACATCTCTTTCCTCAGGCAACTCAGCAGTTTTTCTGCTATCTAAACTAGCCGAAGGTATGTTTTCCAGGGGGAAAGGTGTAGAAGGGAGAAAGAACCTTAGAGGTCCCATTCATTAGCCCCTGTTTCCTTGATCTGAGAGCTCCTGGCACTTGAAACAATAGTTTTAGGCACATCTGCTCTCTGTTTGAAGGCAAGAGGAAAAGAAATATTGACAGATGCATAACAGTAGCATACTTTGATAGTTGCTTCTGTTTAGTTTTATTGGAGTATATGAAAATTTAATACATAGTTCTAAAGCCACTAATGGGGAAAAGAGGGGGAGAGGACGATAGGTGCAATAGGAAAGATACACAAGAGATTTCAAAGCATGGGCACATGTGTTTTTCTGTAAATAAGTGCCACTGCTTTTTACATCTTCACTGATGAAAAAGGTTGTTTAACTATTAATGAAAATGTAGAAGTGTAGATGCTTAAGCACATATAGCTTTTTAAAATTATTTTTGTTATTCTAAAATATTATCTGCAATAGTGATAACCATTTTGAGAGTCATTGACGCATTTATTATTCTTTCAGTAGTTGTTAATTAAAAGATTGGTAGCTACCCAGTAACAGCATACAATTCTTAAGGGATTTTTGCTGAGACAGTTGATAGTGTCTAAGCAATCAGTAACAGCACATCTACATCTGATATAAATCATGTTGCTAATGAGTAGTGCATGAGGCAATAACTAGTTCCATTTAAGTCTTGCAATTTACAGAAAAGCCATTTGTCCTGCAGTGTATTTAATGGCAGATATTCCTAGCAGCTAATTTGATAAATGATTGTCTAGCACATGAAGAGTGGGTTTTCAGAGTTCTCATATTCAGCTTGATGTGGTTCCAACAAGAACAATTTTACCTCATGGGAAATTAGGTCTCTGTGACTGGACTGAGGTGATAAATCAAAAATATTCCTGTGTTAAAGTGTCAATCAGGTGGCCTTGGCAAAAGGCGGAGGAGCAATACCTCAGTCTTCTGATAGGGTATAAAAGACAGGATCTGTCTCAGCAATTTGTTTAACCCACTGCTTAAGAGAATGTTATACTGTTATAAAAACATGGGAGGTGACAATAATGAGTTATAATAGTATGCACTAAGAGAAATAGGTAAACAAAAAGAAGTATCCTGTGTTCAACTCTGCAATATATGCTTAATCTTCGCTAGCACACACAGACATTGTAGAACCTTATAATGTTTGCAATCAAGACTTTAAATTGTCCTGAAATATTCCAGGATAGGAAGCAGTATGCTAAAATGTGCAGTATCACCTTGGAGGAACCTGACACTGCAAAATTCATTGCCAAAATATTCAGATTTCTCTCTGTATAAGGATACACTTCCTTCTTCCTGTGAAGACTGGCAGTGTAGTAGAAGTTAAGTACACTAAGGAAATAGTTCTATTTAAAGTAAGGATAGCTATTAAAAGAAATGACAGTGAAACTGTTCAGTTTTCTCCAGCTTTAGTCATCTGTAGTGATGGCTTCCGGAGACAGAGGTACATGAGGCGTCTACCTTAACCATCTATTTTAACGCTTCAGTATATCTGTGATTTATTTGTCTGGTTAAAGAAATGTGGTGGATATTTATGAGTAAGATTTAGGTTCCTGTGTTTCAATAGCTGATTTGCATAAAATTACACAGAAAAAATGTACACTATAAGAATAAGATGCACTTATCCCTTATTTTCTGAACAACCAGGTATGACTGATGAAGCTACAGATAAGTTATAGAATTTTTAGTGTGTAACAGCCTGGACAACCTTTAAGAATCAGTAATACTGCCAGTGAGTGTCTATCATTGCTATTAAAAGCTGAGACCAGTATAATACATCCAGGGGCTAGTCTCTCAGTGAGGTTTTCTCCCAGATATAAAGCTTGGGCTGTCATTGGCAAGCTTTAGAGGTGAGATATAGGGGTCACATAATATAATTAAAAGAAGAACTAAAGTCCTTATCCCCACATCAAGCATGGCGTGTTCTCTTCCTATTCAGCTCTCTCCAGCACATGCAGCTTCCCTTCCAGAAAAGGTATGGGTGTATTCCCTGCCCTGAAACCATAGCCAGGAATGCTTTTCTCTGTGCATGTATTTCTTTGGGTTTTTTTGCTCAGGGGGCTTTTCTTTGAGGGGAAGGAGGACAGCACTGTAACTTGTTAAGTACAAGGCAGGAGTTGGGAAGTGAAGTAAAATCCTATTTTGCTCATATGTAGAAATTAAAAAAAAAATAAATCAGATAGTTTGAAGTACCTGGGGTAAGTTAGAATCCAAGATTTCTTGTTTCCTTTGTATACAAGAACTCTGTATACAACAGAAGTCTTCCAGACCAAGAGGAGTTCTGGGTCCTGATGGTTCCTTGTGTATGCAGACTGCAGATTTGCACTTGCACACAACCTGATTTCCAGTACCTTCAGGAATTCAAGGATATACATTCTGAAGAGTTAAAAAATTTTCCTCGTGATAGTTATTCTGGACTTCTAGGAATACAGGGCCAGATCTTCAGTTTGTCTAAATCACTGTGAATCTGTAGACTTGTGAGACTGATTTATGCATGCTGGACATCTGGTCTTCTCCTAGCTTTCCTTTCAGAGTGGTGCTTTTACTTTGTGTCATCAGTTTTTGTAAGGAAAACCTCAGAGATACAAGCAAACACATTTCTGTATATTTTCTACTTAAGAGTGAAATAAACTTCATCATCTCCTGTTCAATCACTTAAAACTCTGGATTACCGATGAGAAAAGCCCTTCAATTTCATTTCAGAAAAAGGTGTGCTCTGCCACAGAAGCTCTGTTCTGCCATAAATTGTGTGGTTTTGGCTGTGACGTGAAGGAGAGTCAAGGAAAGATCATAAAAGTTAAAGTAGGTTCATATGGAGCACAATGCCCTCAATATGTCAGTGGCAGCTTTTTCACTACCGCTTTAATAAATATAGAAGTCTTTAATGGCTTCTTACAGCCATTCAGTCCAGCTGGCTTTATGATTTGTATACCCTTCTTCTCTGTGCTGGGTTAAGATTTTACTTAGAAATATCCTCTGAGCTTCTTCACACTGTGATCGTTTCCCTGCAGCGTGCGGTCAGACTGAAACAAATTCACTGACCTAATAATTGTCCTTTTATTTATCCTTTGTAAACTGGAAGTCATTTAAAACCCAGTTCATTTATGCCGGTGTAAAACTGGATAATACAGTTGTAAGGCTAAGTGCTGTTCATGCTAGTTGTGTAGTGGGAAATAACATCTAATAGGACCCTTTCTGTCTGAGTAGTTTCTTTTCATAGTCCCAGCTTTGCTTTCAGTCACTCAAGGAGAGATTTTCATTAACTTCAGGGAGTGTGGGAACATGACGATGTCCACACTCTTTGTGATCTCAGCCATGTCTCTGCATAAACATAAAAGAAAGAAAAGTAAGTAAGGTTTATGACCAGATCTTCAGTTTCCGGAAATCAGTAAATCTCTTTCCATTAGTGCTTAAGATAGTGAGTGTGGTTTTGAATTCTGTGATTCTGGTGGGATTATTTAGGAGAACCTCTAGAGTATGAATTGGCAAGTTCCGTATTCTGTAGTTGAATATGCTAAATTTTAAAATTATTCCAGTCTTTCCAGGAAGCAAGTTCCATCCAGTGAGCCAATGCTGAGGAAGACTTGGCATCGACATATGTTGTCCAGATGAAAGTGAACAGTGACATTTTTCTCATTGGAAAGCATTGCTTTGCATAACTTGATCCCAATTTCCAGGGGAGTATTAAGATTAAGATCAGGCTAGGCTGATCTTCTGCCTGCCAGAAATATAGATTTGCTACACTATCAAAATGAATAAACAGTATTTTTCCAGATTGGCTCATAACAAACTGCTTGCTAGGTATACTTGCCATCTGTATCCTTCTATGTTTAAAAAAGTCCTCAGTCCATCTCTACCTGTCCAAATTTACACTCCAGGAAGAAAAAACGTATTGTGTCAAATGGAAAACACAAACAGCTCATCAAAGCACCATACATCCTAGCTGATTAATAAGCATGTTCAAACACCAAGCGAAATTCCACACGAAGCTGAATGTGGTGATGGCAGGCGGTTTTGCCGATCGTTGTAACCTGCAGAGTGCCCTCAGGAGTGCTGTCTTCTGCAGGCAGCGTACGTGGCTGTGAGAATATTCTTTGACGAACAGTGCTAAACCTGTTGGTATGAGCTGCCAGTGCAACATGGTGATTGCTGCAGATCCTCTTGTCAGTGCTCAGGGCTCACAAGATCCTTGCAATACATTGCCAGCTGTATGCAGCCCCCTCAGATGACAGTGTGCTCCTCACTGCGGCAGCCAGACTGTCACCAGCCTAATCTCATTCATGACCAGCTATTTGTGCAAGCGATCACATGGCGTCAGGGCTAGTCAAGTGAATGCCCATTTATCTACGTCTGTAAGGGATTCACAAGCTGGCCGCATGCAGATTGAAGCAGAAAATGTGAAAATAGATACTTAGAGAAGATCAGCTGGATATTCTGTGATAAAAACTGCAAGTGTGCAGACTGCCACGAAGGCTACGATGGCAGCTGGGGTTGGGGGAGGCACAGGAGATGAACCTTCTGCCTGCTCACCAGCGTCAGATCCCAGGGCAGCGTTGGGCTGCAAGGGGCTTACACCGCTGGGATACCCCCCGGAAGGTAATTTCTGCTGGCGGTGGACTTGCCCCTTGTGTTACGTACGTTGAACTTAAAGGGTGTCTGTCATATATAAATATAAATCGCTGTGGTTCCTGCCAAGGCAGCGGGTCACTGAACAGTTACTGCTTGTTTCTGCTGCTTCTCACTGGCTCTCAGCTGAGAGCAGATTTTGCTACTCTGCATTTGTAGCTACAAACCTGTGAAACGTCTCTGGCAGCGGAACTGAGGCTTCTTTTCCTTTGTTATCTGCAGGTCCAACAGATCTCAGTATGAAGAGGCAGTTAGCAACCAGCTCTGGATCCTCCAGTAGTTCAAGCTCCAGACCCCAGCTGAGTCCGACTGAAATAAATGCAGTGAGGCAGCTCGTGGCAGGGTACCGAGAATCAGCCGCCTTTTTACTGCGTTCTGCAGATGAACTGGAAAACCTTATTTTGCAGCAGAACTGAGTCACGTGACCTTCACACTGGCCTGGTCTTATCTCAGAGTTTCCACTAATGACATTTTGATTTCCCAGAGCACATACTTCAGTTACTGCACAGTCTTTTAGGAGAGTTAATTACCGTAATGCCACACTGTTCTTGATCCATAAAGTGATGTGTTAAGGTGCTTCAAGTGAACTTCGACCTCTGGTATTTCCGAGGTACTTTACTGTGTCCAGCCTATTGCTTTTGTTTTAGTGTCTCAGCATAAATATCGAAAAAGTGGCTAGAAATTAACTCGTTCTAACAAGTGGAGGAAACAGAAGATGCTGTGATGGTTTTTAAAAGAAAGGTTCAAGATCCAAGTGCAATATTAGTGGAATGTGATACTGACTCATTGGACTTAAAGCTGCAGTATATGGCAAAACATTGCCAAATGTCCTGTTGCTACAGGGCACAATTGCAATTAAAAGGATCTTGTATTTTAAAAAATGTAATTTTTATAAAAAACAAAACAAAAGATTTTTGTTTTCATTCAAGATTTTTCATTCTTACTTTGGTAAACTTTTTCACTGGTCCTGAAAATGTTTTGAGGAACTATTGTAAGTCCCCCCTTCCTCTCTTGAACCCCTGACTGTGCCCTTCTCCCCAACTTCATATTTCTACAACGAGTAACTCTTGATGCTGGATAATTCTTCCCCCGTGTACTGTAAATTGTCATCTATGGAATACCTTCCAAAGGAAGCATGCATTTCCTGCATTCATACCATTGTCAAGCCCATTCTGTAATATATTGCAGCTTTATTAATAGAGTTGAGGGTTTTTTAAAAAAGACATATCACTGAGACAAAAGAAAAGATAAATTGATTTCTTACGGTGAGCTCATCTAACTCCATGATCACTGCTGCTGTCCTATACAAGTCCCTCTAGTTGTGATTGGATGTAGGTGATGAATGTTAAGAGGTTGCAAGTGACAATCTGAAAATTTGCACTCTTGTGTGTATTTATTTTGTTTTCCTTAATTTAAACAAAATTCTTACTGAGGAAGGTCATTGACGCTTCTGGTATGATTTGTAGAATTCCCAGGCCTAGCTAAAACCTGTACAAAACTGTAAATGGATGCAGCTGCAACTGTAATAAAACTCTTCTTTCCCCTCCCCCACTCTTCCCAACCCCTCTATTTCTTATTTTATAATATTGATTACACATTAATGGTGTTTTCTTTGTGCACTACGGCAGGGTTTTTTTTAAGCATATAGAAAAAAGTACTTTAGTTTATGCTTACTGTACTATCTGTTCTGTTGTTTAGCTTTTGTTGAATAACAAGTTTCTTGTGCATTCCTAAATTTGCCTTATTTCATGTACAAAATTTTATGTAATTCCGTTTTTGACAATGAGTTTAAGGCATCAGTGATATTTTATATCTACTTGTTACATATAGTTTTCCAAGTAATGACTGTGATTGTGACCAAGTAATGTGCACTTTTTCTTGTAACTGTGGACATTGCTATGATTTTTTTTCTCTAGTGTTTCTAGAATTACTGTTGCTTACAGTTATGTAAAAGAAAAAGAACTTTTGTGATACTGTTGGTGAATATTAATGTGAAAAAGCCTATGAAATATGAGTATTTTGGAGGTACATAGATACACAAACATCTCTAAGTTGTGGACTGATGTTCACATATTTAAATGAGAATTCAAAACCTGAGGGCTGGAATAATTTCCTCTGTTTTGTTTGGGTAAATAAACAGATTTCTGTGTTTAAATACATGATTGTGAAACATTATAGCATTTAAATTGACGTGGCATTTTAAGCCATAAATCTTACTGTCTTTAAACAGGAGAAAGGGCCTTCTAGTCCCATTCATGCAGACACCCGAACCTCATTTCTCAAAATTATTGAGTAAATCCAGTAGGCTGATCTAGCTGGAGCTTTGTATTAATGGAGAATTTCCTCAATAAGAGCAGAAGCGGCTGGTCCATAAATCATGAGATCCGAGTCACTGGCATTTTATAATTTTAAGTTGGCTGGAGGCAACACCATTTTGCCACCCTACAGTTATTCTTAGAAATCTGTTGGATGTCTTTTTAAAGGCACTTATTCTTGGATATGAGAATATTGTTGCAAATTCTTACTAGTTGCTACTCATCGCTGGAGAGATGCGTTTGCTTCTAACATCTTCTCACTGTGCTTGTGAAAGCCTATAGCTTGTCTCTACCATAGGTGCGTGGTTGCCTCAGCTTTTGTCTCACCAGGCATTCAGAAGCCTGTTAGGAGCCAAGTGCCTTTTTCCTCTCTTCCACTTTCAAGTATCTACAGCTTCTTCTGTCTCTTGCACGCCAGAAGGGGAGGAAAAAGGTGCCTTGTGCCAGGTCACTTGGCCTCATCCAAAGAAAAGCTCTGGCATACATCTTCTGTAGAGAAAAGTGACAACTATGCCTAGACTTCAAAGTTTCCTCAGTCCTGTTTTGCAGGGCAGTGTGCCTCAAACGGCCAACTAAGCAGCCACCAGGAGTTTGTCTAAGAGGCTGTTTGCCAGCCAGGAATGCTTCTCAGCTGAGCAATTTTCTTCAGTGTTCTACCCTCTCACTCCTCTTTCTTCTCCCCTAGTTACTCCTCTTGAGGGAGAAGAAGGAAGGTTGGAGGTCACCATATGACCTTCAAGGCCTCTGCCTAGTCTCCCCTTTTTCCTGCTCTGTCCCCAGCCTACTTTGATAGTTGTGCAGGTACATCTTCTACAGTGCACAAATCTTCTTCTTCTGGCTGCCTTCTCTGAAATTTATAAGGCCACATTCAATTACAGGAGCAATTTATGTCCTTCTCTAAAGGCTCCTACAGATACTTAGCTTTCATTCTTCAAAAGTGATTTATCTGTGCTGAACTCCAACACACTTGTGTAGTTTTTCCTCTATAGCTGTTTCCACCTCTAAGTATGGGGTTTATTCATCTCATCTTTGGAACAATCATAGATTCAACTGTCATTTTAATTTCCTTTTATTCTAAGAGGGTAGTGAAATTCAGACCCATCCTGTGAAGGGGAACCGTAAATCTCAGTCCACTTTTGTGTGTGTGAATCTAGATGCAAGCATCGCAACTAAATTTGCCCTCTTGGATCCAGTATAGGTCTCAGAGCCACCTATTCTCTGCCTGCTTTGAACCTCCTAAGGAATTAAAGGCATAGATGGAGAAGATCTTGCTCCAGCTGTAGACTGAGTCAGGTATCCAGAAATAACTTCAGAGTTATTTCTTTCTCTTATCCACATCTTCTGTAATCAATGCCTGATCACCTCAGGCTAAATACTGCTATTAGGATAAGGCCAGTCCCTTCCAGCATGGGCATGTCCCCTGAGTATGCCCGCTTAAGCCTGCCTTCAGAAAAGCATTATCCTTATATCCAGTATTGTTATTATACCAGTGCTCCTAGTAGATGGATGTCTTTCTACAGAACCTTGTCAGTGTAGACTGGCAGGTGCTGGTCATCCCTGAGACAGCCTCACATCTTCCCAGCTATGCTGGTGTTTCTTTGGGAGTGGTCCTGTAAGACCTTCAGTCTTCGGGGGGTTGCTGGAAAGGGAGAGATGGTGGGAGAATCACAGAATGGTAGGGGTTGGAAGGGACTTCTGTGGATCATCTAGTCCACCCCCCCTGCCAAAGCAGGGTGGGCACCACTGAAAAGAGTCTGGCCCCATCCTCCTGACACCCACCCTTCAGATATTTATCAGCATTTCTAAGGTCCCCTCTCAGCCTTCTCTTCTTCAGGCTAAACAAGACCAGCTCCCTCAGCCTTTCCTCATAGGAGAGATGCTCCAGTCCCCTCATCATCCTCATAGCCCTCCGCTGGACTCTCTCCAGTGGCTCCTCATCTTTCTTGAACTGGAGAGCCCAGAACTGGACACAGTACTCCAGCTGTGGCCTCACTAGGGCAGAGTAGAGGGGGAGGAGAACCTCCCTCGACCTGCTGGTCACACTCTTCTTAATGCACCCCAGGATCCCACTGGCCTTCTTGGCAACCAGGGCGCACTGCTGGCTCATGGTCAACTTGTCATCCCCCAGCACTCCCAGGTCCCTCTCCACAGAGCTGCTCTCCAGCAGGTCAGCCCCAAGCCTGTACTGGTGCATGGGGTTGTTCCTCCCCAGGTGCAGGACCCTTCACTTGCCCTTGTTGAACTTCACCAGGTTCCTCTGCGCACAACTCTTCAGCCTGTCCAGGTTTCGCAGAATGGCAGCACAGCCTTCTGGTGTATCCACCACTCCTCCCCGTTTTGTGTCATCAGCAAACTTGCTGAGGGTACACTCTGTCCCCTCACCCAGGTCATTGATGAGTAAATTCAACAAGACTGGGCCAAGTACTGACCCCTGGGGAACACCACTAGCTACAGCTAGAATGTCCTCTAATGTCCCTAAATTCCTATCCAGATTTAAGTATGAAACTTGGCCACGGTCTCAGCGGATTGTCTCTTTAGGCTTACATCTGCATTGGGAAGACAAGTCATTTATTCATTCTTCTCTCTTCTCTCCCTGGTTTGGGTGTGGTTTTCATCGATAGGGGAAGCAACTGTGGGTAGCAGCTTTAGATGCAGCCTTCGGTGGTGGGAGTGGACAATCTGACCATCTTAACCAGATTTGTTTACTGCTTTCGATGTCAGCTGGGAAACCAGAGTCAGAATACATGGAAAGAGACGTGGGGTCAAATATTTTCTTCCAGGTTTCTTCTGCACCTTGCTGCCTGTCTTTGAAGGAGAACACCACCTTATTGGGCCATGATGAGTATCAAAAGCTACAGAAAACCAGTGCATAGGTAAGCAAGTATCTGACAGTTCAAAAGCTGCCTTTCCCATATAGAGAATGAGTTTTAAGAATGAGGAAAAGCGGATGAACATGTATGTGACCGTAGCTGTAAACTAACTGGAAAACAGATTTATATTGAAGGAATTGGGTATTTTTGCTTCAAAGACCTGAGTCCCTGCCAACTACAGTTTCAGAGGAGGTAAGTTTTGTTGGTGAAACTCCATTGAAACAAGGAGCA